TATATATATATATATATATATATATATATATATATATATATGTATATAACAAAGAAAGAAAGACTCTGTGCCATTTCTGAGAAAATCTTGTTTGCGTAATTTTTTTTAAAAATTGCACTTATTGCACGGAAACTACTAACATATTCAAAAAAATGTACGTAATCTTAATGAAAGAACTGACTATAGTGAACAAATTTTATTTGAAGGAAAAATCTCTATCTTCAATCATGTAGTTGTAGGAAGATGCCCTAAAATTTGTGAAATTTCTTCAATTTTGAAAAAGTCCTACGCATGATTTAGGCGCTAGCAGTGGTCACTGCTACCGGACGGACAGACGGACGTTTTGAAAAAAAAACATATTTTCAGTATCAGGGGTTACCCCAAAACGTGTATTTCCGTCGAAAACTCGAAATCGATTTCCGCAACATTATATAACTGTACCTGTACTTTATATATTACTCCGTATATACGTACGTACATGGGAAAGTAAAACTGTCTATATTTAAATTTATTTGATCGTGCAACATATATTTTATCATGGGATAAATCGACTAAAGAGTTAAAGGTTGCACTGATTTACCCTTTAATTGGAAGTAATGAAGCAAAACATCTTTGTTGAAAATTTGCACGTTCTTCTCACTGCAGTATGTTTTAAACACACGTTTATTTTTGTGTCTTTTCATTGACTTGCTAGGAACTACTTCCTACATCGCTTCTCCTGCCATTTCCAGAATATCTGGAGTAATTTCCATTTTTTTCGGCTACATTTACTTCGATACCTTTCATTTCTTGCTTGTTTCAATTGTTCCCTCTTTTGTTGCGAAATAAATCGATACAAATGGAACCTAATTACGAATTTACTACGAAAATAATTTATATTAGATAAATTAAGAGCAGTATGCAGGTAGGTATGACGAAAAATAGTATACGGGCGAAATAAGGCTTTTTCTCCCTCGATTTGAATGCGATTCTCGGGCTATCGCCCTCGTGTCGAATCATTCAAATCTCGAACAAAAAACCTTTCTTTCTACCCATGTGACGTAATATTCTATTTACGGCACCAGGTAGTAACAAGAATTTTTTGTATAAAAACCTGTACTTTTCAGTGCAGTATCATATAACTTTCTCTATATTATGTATTCTACTTCGTATATACGTACGTATACGACAAAATAAAAACTTTTTTTAGAGAAATTTTGTTGATCCTTGTGAAAGAATGCGCAAAAAATTGTCAGATCCCCACGACGGTAGGATACCATGATGCGTCGAGTCACACCTCGCTTGCGTCGATTGGGGAACCGGACATACAAACTAACGAACTGCCGGACGTACCTTACTCGATTTCTGTCTAATATACCCTACTATAAATAAATGTTATTCATTTATTTCATTAATATTATTAACTTTCGTAAAAATATATCCCATTCGATATGTTGATATAACCCACTTAATACGTTTAGTTGAAGTCTATTAAGATCTAAAACTGTCATCTAA